TTGAGAGATCAGAAAAGGAAGACTGGGGAGTCAATCTACTGTGCTATTCAAGTGCTGCAGGACCCTAATCTATTATTGATGGGGAACATAAGCATAAACATGACATTTAGGAGTAAGGTCTACTCATTTCTTCTTTAGCATTTTATTGACTCCCCTCTCAGCACTTGACCGTGGGTAAGTAGATTCAGCCTGTGTAGAGGGCACGGAAAATTTGCAGTAGGTTGCAATGTCTGCCTTAGATTCTTGGGGAAAAAAAATTTCAATTAAATAAAGGGGAAATACAACTTCCAGATTTTACCAATACACACCCCTCGCCCCCTCCCCCGTCCTCCCCCATTCACCAAATAAAAAAAAAAAAAAAAAAGAAAAAGAGTAAGAGAGAGGCAAAGTTTTTCTATCAGCATCTATAGGAATGGATCCTTTTAGATTTTTCTTAGATTGAAGTTGATGATCACTGCATAACTCTATATATTTCCTACATACAGACACCTCCTTCAATGCTTTGTCTTTTGAGATGCAATGTAAGGTATTTTTCCACAGGTTGGCAGATTCAGCAATGCAGGAGAAACTCTTCAGTCACAGGAATTCTAAGCAAGAGACACAGCTGTTCCTGCCTTCCCTCTTCCCCTGTCTTCATCACCCTGAGGAAGTTGTGGAGGAGACTGCTCAATTTTTCCAGTGCTTTCTTAGGGCAGTGCAGCAAATCTCATAGGGCAGCGTCTCCCAGACTGGAAACTAACTACACTGTGCTGTTGAAACACCTTGTTTCCTTAGACAGAAGGTGAAGGTGGGGGAAAAGAACTGCAGTATTACTAGGATTGCCAAGTAAAAAGCAAGAAGAGATACCACAGATGTAGTGTCTCCCTGGATGTATGAGAGCTGATGAATGTTCCAGTTATTTCTTCTTCCTGGGGAAGACTGGAAGAGTGCTGACTGGAGAGGCATCCCGCTTTGTCTCTGTAGTGGTAGTGGGGCTAACTGTGTGGGCAGATGGGTCTGCTACACCTATGTCTTCCCCTGGTAGAAAACACTAATAGGACCAAGACAGATATTTTCCCCCCAATAAGCTTCTGAAAGAAATTATGGGTAAAGATCGATCAACCCCAATTAAGTTCTGACAACTTTAGAGGGGGAAAGAAAACATTTGTATTTCAAAAGAATTTCTGTACCCATTACTTTTTATTATATTTTTTTTCACTGTGCTACTGCCTGTATGGGATTGAATTTTTGCATTTGTTAGTTGTGACCGAGCATTCTTCCCATATTCTATCGTTGCTGTACACTGTACTATGGCAGTTATCTAGCTAAGCAGTGGTGGTGCTGGTGAACAGGGAATGGCATGTAACTCCCCTCTCTCCCTGCCCCTCCATTATGCTGCATTTGACCATGTAATTTGTCAATGCAAAATATGGGGAACACATCCAAATCTAGAGGATTCAAGGGTCCCTCAGACCCAAACATGTAAGTATAAACTTAGATGTACTTTATGAGAATTTCACACCATTACATGTCCAAAACTTGAGTCCTTAGTGTAGAATGACCGACGTTTGTGTCTGCACCTGATGCCACTGGGTTTGGTCACAACACAAATTAGTTGTAAGCCATAAGCCACCGTGACTCAGTTCGTTTGCAGTATTTTGGCTTCCCACTGCCATGAATGCTGCACCCGGAGAACCAGGGTGTAGACTAAAGACACACAACTTGCTGTGTTCTGGGGGGTCCCGAGCTAGCTGCAAAGCACAGACTTTCCAGCTCCTAACCTCATGACTGAAGTGCAGGGGTAAACATGCTGTTGACCACCCAGGGTAGTGCTGAGCGAAGCGCAGTGTTGTGTCACTGTATCTCCTTCCCAGCAGGTCACTCAGTAAGTACCTGTCGTTTCTCTGTGGTTGTACACAGCCCTCTCCATTTCATGAAGCACATCTGGAGTTGAGTAGTGTCTGTTAAATGCAGTATCTCTCATTCCCTTAGGAAACTACCTGCCCCACACCTGCTTCATATAACAGTACCTTATCTCTTATTCTCAGACTTTCCACTAGCCTCCTCACACCCAACTCTGAATGGACAGAAGACAGCAAAATCAACAAGGGACTCTTTTTCAGCATACAACAGCAAATACCTCACAGTTCCTCAAAACCGGACTTCCTTGCACAACAAGAGGATCAATGGAGCTTTTGAAGAGCCAAGCAGTATGGAGTCCTTCAGCAGCTCTGTAAGAAGGATTTTATGTTCGTTGACTTATCTCTAATGACTTTGAGATGAGGAGGAGGCTTGGAGCAGGGAGAGAAGAGCACGGTGCGTTCCTCCTGTGCTTTAGGAAAATCCACACTGTACTGGGAAGAGTGACTATGCAAGTAAACTGATACTACGGCCTTAGGTAGTAACTAGGCTGCTTAGTGTGCGGCAAGAACTAATTGCTACTTTAGAGGTCCCACCAAGCTTTTCTTGATTTACTTTAGCCAAAATCCTTCAGAGTAGGAAAAGATCTGCAGGTGGATGACTAAATTGGCTATCCCTGTGCAAACCCTGGGCCAGCATGTGCCCAGGTGATAGTGTGAACTGGACTGGAAGATGGAAATGTAGCGTTGATGTGGTCTTCAGAGGACAGCTGTTAGAGGAGACACCTCTTGGCATATATTTGTAGTGATACATTGGCTATTAGAGGACTAGGATAAAATTGTCACGAAATGCCAATCCTGCCTTCCTGTGTTCTTATTGTTTGAATAAGCTGAAGGTCATAATTTAAATCACTGATTCTGACTTTTACAAGGGCTGTGAGAGAGGAGGAAAGATCTTGATAGTTCCTTCAGTGCCATTTTGAAATTGCAACTTAATTGTGTTCCTCCCTAATAAGGTCTTCTCATGCCAAAATGTCACATGGTGAGGAAAGCAGTGCACGTTTAGGGCCAGAGAATGTCCTTACTGAAACCTATGGGAATTTCAGGCACCCATAATATTGGGGATGGCACTTTGCTGCCAAGGATGAGGAAAAAATCCAGAGGGAGGGAGGTGCTGTTGTATCTTCTCATCCTATTATTCTGTGTTACTCCAGCAACAGCAAATGTTGCTATGGTGCTCTCTCAGGTGGCTGGGATGTGGCAGCTGGCTACCCATGGTAATAAACAGGAAAATCTCCTAGTGACTTTTCATGTTCTCCAATCTCCTGTTCTCTCCTCCGTGTTTTGTTTGCACTTCTCATTTTTGCCCTCACTCACCAGTAAGGGAGCAGAGGATGCTTAGAGCTCATCTTCTCTAGAGTCAGCTAATGCATTGTGTGGTGCCAGTGACCTGGTGGTGGTGACATAATTATTTCTGTGCTGTATATCCTGAAACTCTTCGGGAGATTGGGAATCTGCAACAAGTTTTTCTTCACTATGGCAAAGATGGATCCAGGAGGTTTGCATGGGCTGCCTGTGAGTATTACATGAAAATATATCTAACTAGGAAATGGGGGATTGCAGTAAAATGCTGTCTCCCAGGCAGTTCTATATTCTGCCAGAACGTAGTGCTAAGTGAAAGTTTAGATATACCTAGAGGGACTCGATATACACTTTACACATAAAACGTGTGATAAGTGTAATGTGCAGAACAGATTATTTGGTAACAATTTTGTGAAAGAATGAAGGATGTAGTGTGCATGTAAAACCAGGATTTATTTAGTGATATGGTAATGGAAAGCTATTTTGTGGGAAATAGAGCAATGAAAAACAAGAACTTGGGAGATGTTGGGCTATATAATAATATGCAAATTCATACAATACCTTCAAAAATTTGTGTTGTGTTAACAAATGAGAAAATTACCATACAGCATGCTTTGTTAACTTTGCATTCAGGACTGCAAGTGCATGGAGTGGGAGGGGAGACAGGGAGAGAAAGAAATCTGTAACTGGTACCTGTCAAGATTTTGCTGGTATAGGAACCATGAATGTCTGGGATTAGGATATGGGCTGATTTCTTTGGATCAAGGTGACCCTATTTGTTTACTTGTGTCTCGCTGCCCCGTCACTGGAGGGCTAGTGTCTAATGAATGACACTGTAGAGGCCTCTGTGAAAAGTTTTAAGCTACAGCACTGAGCTGGAAGTTGTGGATGGTAACAGTTTTGGAAAACATATGGGCTATCTTAGTGAAAGTGAATGCCTTACATTTGGTATCAAAGTTCAAAGTGGATGCAGCAGACTTGTCCAGGATGGGGGTTAGTGGTGGAACAGCTTCACCCCAGAAAGCTTCAGAGACTGGAGATGAGGAGGCAGGGATGGTCCAAGGGCACAACTGAGGGCAACATAAGTGATTTGAATTATTTTAGTCATTGATTTCCTTTTGCAGCTGGTCAGTCACATAGGCTTTTTATAATAAGTTAAAATACAGGTCAGCTAGCATTGTTAGCCATCGGTGGGACATATCCTCTCTAATGTCTGCTATTTCCCAGTTTTCTGTCCAGCCTTACCCTTTGTGCCCTTGTACTACATTAAGGATATTTCTCCTGTTCTAGCTCAGATCAGTTTTTTCCCTTTCTTCCCACAGTTTTTTGTATCCCTCCCTGTCCAGCTTTGCTCCACAGTATGTCCTTTTTCATATCCCAAGGTGCAGTATGATCCTTAGTCTCACTTCTCTCTCACATTTCAAAATGCAGGTGTCTTCTCCTGTATGGTCTGTGTACATGCAGGACAGAGAGACAGTGTTGCTCTGTACCTCTGTACCTGCCCATCAGGGAGCTATCCCAGGCGTTGGGATAATCTTCAGCCACTCTCCTTTGTTTACGGTAGGAGGAGGTCAGCGTGACTTAATCTTGTCTGCAGAGTCATGTTTGTAGGTCATACCTACTTCCCTCTGACCTCTGCATGGCTTTACCTGCTTGTATGGAGATAGACCCTGGGCCTGCCTTCTTCCTGGGCTTTTGGCTTACTTACCTGTGACACTCGGTGTGTTTCTCTCCCAGATTATAAACAATTACCTGGATGGGACACAAGGAGAGGCCATGGACAAATCATCCCCAAGCGGCATGCATTTCAGGGACAGCAAGAGAAAGGTCGACTACGTGTTAGCCTACCACTACCGAAAGCGCCTTGCTCGGCACACTCCTGGTGTAGGCTCGCCAGAGCCGGTGCGTGGATCTGCCTCCTTGGCTCTGGTTTCGAACGGAGGGACTCAGAAGGGCCGTGCTGAGCCGCAGCAGCAGGATGGTGGCCACCATGCCCTGATGGAGCGGCTGGGACCACTGGGGGTGGAGGTGATCGAGCTTGGCCCGCTGGATGCTCTGGAGGAGGAGAAGCAGCTGCAGCGGGAGGAGTACGAACGCAACCTGGTGGAAGCGGGGCTGGAGATAGAGAAAGACCCTGAGGTAAGAGGGTGAGACCAGCTCCTCACATGCAGTACTGATGGGTGATGGCCGCTTGATGCTGGAGGTGGCTGTGTGCAGGATGCACTGATGGGTAATGGTCACTTGGTGCTGGAGGTGGCTGTGTGCAGGATGTAATCATGGCCAGGCCCTGCTGGAGAGGCAGCTCGGAGGTGACTCGGTGCCCAGAGCACAGCTGCCCACTCTCCTTGCTGGTGGGGAGGCCACGAGTCTGGCTGTGGCCATGCTTTAGGGCCCAGTCCAGCCTGCCTTCATTCCTGTCCTGCACTGATGTTAACTGAGAGGCAAATCATACCCATGCCATCTCTTAAAAATAAGTATAGGTGCCATTTTCCTTCTAACAGGCGCTTCAAAGACTCCCCCACCATCACTTCTGCAGCCACAGCAGGTGCAGGATGTCCTGGAGGTATGTCTCATGGCCAGCTTGAGGAGCTAATCCTGAAAACAGCCTGTTACTGCTGAATAGTAGTTTGGTACTGAACATTCCTAGGTCAAGTGCTGCCACCGTAGCAACCCCCAGTTAGGGATCTGTAGAAATATGCCGTACAAGCTATTTTATATATAGCTCGAATATGGTTTGAAGCCAAGAAGAAGATGGCAAGGGTGTTTCTGTGTTCCTTGCTTCTTACTGCTGGGGAAATACGTGGTTGTTATTGTTGTTTAATGCACTATTGAGTAGCAAGTTCAATCTTAGTTCAGTAGAAAATTTATTTCTTTATCTAAATGTTCTTAAGGCATGCAGTGAACACACTTCCTTTCAAAAATATAGTGTTTATGTTTTAATATTGTTAAAATGAATAAAGGCTCTCAAGTAATTTGCTAGAATACAAAGTGCAGTTAAGACGTTTTATATTTCCTCAGAATAACCTGGTGATTTGCAGTGTGACTCTTAGATTTCTTCCCAGCCATATATAAGTTCTGTGTCATTTCTTCATTCCACCTACAAAATGAACAGCTCCTATGCTGCAAGCAAAGAACCTGCCAGCCTTGAATATATTTATTCTCACCACATGGGAGCTGTGGTTAGGTTACCTGACTGCAGCCCATCGGTCAATTGAGCATGGGGCTTCCAAATCCCATGTTGATCCACTGAGAGCTGTGCTATCCCTCTGGACCTCTTTGAAAGCCAGAGATATTTATATCTGTTGAAGGAAAGTCCATGCTGGGTTCTAGTTTTGGGTGCTCTATTGTTTTTGACACCAAATTTAAGAAACTTAGGGCTTCTTTTCAGAGGTGCTGAGAACTTACAGCTCATATTGCTTTCAGTACAACCAGTCAACACTTATCCAAAACATGGACCAAGTCACAGATTCCATCTGAAAATCTGAGTCGTTGATTTGGCATAACATATGCACATGAAATCACTGGCGGGAATAGAAAGAAATAGAAAGGCCTTTTGACTCTTAACATTTTCCTTGCTCAGTTTGCTGAGCTGCAGGTGGCTCTGGGTTGTATTTCACTGCACAGCCTGCCTGAGCCATCCTTACACTGAACAGAAAAAAGTGATCTCAGATCCTGATTCTTTTATGCTAAGCATTGTGGTTAAAGTTCAATACTGCTGGCTCATGACTATCTTACTGCTATGATTTTTATAACCAAATTGCATAAAACCCATGAGAACAGCTGATTTTGGAGTCTTCTTTCACTTATGAATTTCATCAGAACCTGAAAAGTTTAGTAGGAGATTTGGATTTGATTATTTGACTCATTACTTGCCCGAAGTCCAGCTGGATTCAGATTCTAGTTTGGATCCCCTCCAAGTGATGACGTGCACTCTTAAATATTATACAGAGTATTAATTGATGTCATAGAGAGCTGACCAAGAAAAAAACTTTTTGTCACTGCTTTCCTTCTGAAGAGGAAAAAAGCTTTTTGTAAATGAACTGGAAAGTTCTGAGGAAATTATTTGGTGACCCATTCTTTTATGGGAAAAATTAAATTATTTTGAAAATTACAAAAAATGCAATCCCATCACTTATCTGTATATGTACGTAGTCACTCCTGGTCTCTCAACACATAAGCTGTCTAATCAAAAAGGGAAAGGGTTCTTCCTTCCAGAGTCTCCTAAGAAGCTAGAAGGGACTATGCATTATCCTTTTCCTTCCCTGACCAAGATATGTGGCTTTTACTTCCTTTTATTTTTCTCATTTCACTGTGTTTTTTTTTCTCCTGCTAGTTAATTCCTGCTAAAAGAATGCAAAATTATTTGTCTGTTATCTTGCTGTGAATTTCATAGAACATGATGTTCGAGCACGTGTGAAGGGTTCAGTTGACCTTACATGTTGTTTAAAACTGTATGTTGAGCTGACATGAGAACACATCTGATCTTAGTTCTGGGAAAAATATGCCATAGGTTCATTAAACTCTGAATAGCCTTAATCACAGCATGCTGTATTCTTGGTACATAACACAGTGGACTTTCAACTACTACATTTCTAGTGGTTTGTGCTGGATATGCATGTTCAGAGGTTTTTTGTTTTAGTGCTACTATAACAAGTGGACCTTTTTCATATAGTATTGTTGGAAGTTGAGACACATTCTCTAATAAATATCTCACTCTTACTGTGTGTTCTGGGCCAGGTCCTGAGGTAAGTCTGATATCCTGGTCAGAGGGCTGGCTGCAAAGGTAACTCAAAACAGTCCTCTGTGCTGCAGCTGCTGTATGAGGGATTCCACTTTTGGACCCTTGGGTTAGAGGAGGCCGTATCTTACCTACATAAGGTCTTGCAAAGAAAAGTATTCATTTTAGAACAATAGGACATACTGAACACATTCTCCTTCTTGAAGCAGCATAAGTTTTTACACGAAGCAGTAACGATAGAAAGGAAGAGGGCAAAAGGGTATCTGCCATGTCTGTGGTCTTCAATGAATATCTCTTCACTGCCCTTTCTAGGTGGCTTACTACAGCTATACAGCTTAAAAAAATGTCTTTGATAGGGCCTTTCTAAAACTGGTTCTTGTTAACATTACTGCTTGAACAAACAATCAAGCCACTGTCCTCTTTTTACTGATAAGGTGGGAGTCATAAAGGATGTATTCATGGAGTAATACATTTAATTCAGCATTTAATGGCTTTTAAAGGCATCTGTGCACAGTGAAGGCAATGGGCATGAAGCTGAATGTTACAACTTTTTCCTCTCTAATGTGACACTGAATACTATAATGATGGGTGGTCGTAATGGGATCTGACAACTTTTTGCCATCTGCCTGGTAAAGTCATACCATTCACATGTTATAACAACTACTGCCACCGTCAACTTTCAGTCGTGATGTTCTGTGTGTCAGAGATCACAAGTGGAAGATCAGGTTTAAGGAACTCTTTGGCTGGTTATCTTCTCTTCAAATCATAATATTTGGGTGGTCCAGTGTAGTCTGTGCCCATGAAAACAACTGAATTATCATAATTTATGGTTATGTGGAAGTGATATTTCATGGAAAGAATAGGACAGAAGAGGAAAATCCCCATTCACAGCTGATGACAGCAGCATAGCAACACAGAACTACTGTTTTGCTTAGTTTACTGTGAGTAAAAATAATGTTTGCATCTGTGACTGGTCTGTTTGACCAGTCTACAGAGTTGGATAAAATAAGCCTGGTGTTCACGCTTGCATGTGTATGCAGAATTAACTACTTCGTATTTTAAAATATTACATGGTGACTAATGCAGGCCCCACTAATACAGATCCTGTAAACACGCTAATCCTGCAAATACGCATTTGCAGGATTTGCTTTCTCTGCTTCAAAGTAACGGTTAAAGGCACAGTAAAACTTCTTCCAGAGTACCAGAACCCAGATTCCTTGGCATGCCTTTAAAACTGGGAAGAAATGAAAACAGGTCATATTTACCCTTGTGACTTAGATGACAAAGTCATGGCAGTCATCTCCAAATAAATCTTATTTAATACTAGTGGCACAAGTCAAATTCTACGTTGGATACACAAAGAATTGCCTGAAATAGGGCCACCTAAACTGTTCCCTGAAATATTCCATCTTGACTCCCAGGAAGGGCAATAAATACCATTGACATTGCAGGCATTTTTTGGCCTTTTTTGGCCTGCCATTGCAGGCATTTTTTGGGGATGATTTTCTTTTTTATTTTTTTATTCCTGAAACTGAGTGTTGTATTTCACACCATGTGGAACATCATTAGTTCACTTAAATTTAAGTTGCACTGCTGCTTGAATGACTGCAAATGCAACATGTACTGTATTCAGTTAGTATTTTGTAAGGAAAAGTTTAATAGGAATGGAATAAGAAGACATTGGAGATGCACCTTGGCATTCTGAGAAAGTAGGATCATTTTTGAGCACATTGGAAATGAAATGTACTTTGCTAAATAGCATTTAGGATGTGAAAATATCTTTTGAGGGGAAATAGATGGCAAATTCTAAATCACGTGTAAATTACTCCTCAATAAGCTCATCTAAATTGAATTTTAGAGCTAGCATAGGTTTAAGTATGTCTCTTTAAACTCTGTTGGCTACATTACACTTTGAGGCACGGATGTCCTTAGGGTCCTCAGTGTATCTGCTTACATAGGACTGTTGATAACAACATGACCAATGATGGTGGTTGCGACTGGATTTTTCTGCTTGATATTCCAAGGCAGATTTTTGAATTTTTGGGGAAAAAATCCACCCCAAAACTAAAAAGCAAACCAACCAACCAAACCTCCCTCCAGAAACCCCAAAGGCAAACAACTTCCACCCCCAAACCAAACAACCCCCACCCCCTACCAACCTGAACGAAAGAAAAGTTTGTAGTGCTGCAGCTAGATTTTATCTATGGGATTAAATTGCACTGTTTTGTCACACTAAGGTAATCCCCGTTTGCCAGTGGGAGAAGACTTTATCTTTTATCTTCTGTCAGCTATGAAGGGCAAGAGTAGCTAAAATCATATCATAGTAAATTAATGAATACAGAGATTTTTTTTCTTTAATTTGTCTCCTCCTATACCCCCTCCTCCAGCTGAGGAAGTGTCT